GGTGACACTGTGACAGGGATGGATGGGTGACACTGACAGGGATGGACAGGGTGACACTGTGACTGGGATGGGGGGTGACACTGTGACAGGGATGGACAGGGTGACACTGTGACAGGGATGGGGGGTGACACTGTGACAGGGATGGGGTGGTGACACTGTGACAGGGATGGACAGGGTGACACTGTGACAGGGTTGGGTGGGTGACACTGTGACAGGGATGGGGGGTGACACTGTGACAGGGATGGACAGGGTGACACTGTGACAGGGATTGGTGGGTGACACTGTGACAGGGATGGACAGGGTGACACTGTGACAGGGTTGGGTGGGTGTCACTGTGACAGAGATGAGCGGGGTGACACTGTCACCTGTGCCAGGGAGCTGGGGCACAGTTTTGGGGCTGCTGAGGGCCAGGAGCATGTCCAGCCTGCTCTGCCCTGCATGAGCATGTCCTGCTGCCAAGGCCTGGTGGCATCTGGATCCCCCCGGGAATGTCCCCTCTGGCTTTGGGCATCTCGGGTGTCCTGGGACCCCCCGCCCCACCAGGAGCATCCACAGGGACACGGGATCCAGGCTGGATGGGCTGGGAGCAACCTGGGCTGCTGGAAGGTGTCCCTGGGAGCGACTGGGTGGGCTTTAAGGCCCCTTCCAACCCGAGCCATTCCACGATTCCGTGGATCAGCCCCCAGGACACAGCCCAGGTGCTCCAGCCCCGTGTCCCCCAGCCCGTGTCCCGCTCCAGCCCTGCCTGGCTCTGCTTGTGTGCCCAGTGTGCCCAGTGTGCCCAGTGTGCCCAGTCCCCTCCTCCCCAGTTCCAGCACGGCTCCTGGGCTGGGCTGGAGAGAGAGAGAGGCCCGGAGGGAGGTGGGATCCCACCCCACAGCTGGGATCTGCCGGGGAATGCAGATCCCAGGGATGCTCAGATCCCGGTCCACCCCAATCCTACAGCCTCTGGTGACGGGCTTGGACAGGCCTTGGATCAGCCTGGGCTGCTGGAAGGTGTCCCTGGATGGGCTTTAAGGTCCCTTCCAACCCACACCATTCCATGATCCCACGTGCCAACCTCTCCCTTTCCTTCTCTGTCTCTCTCCAGTCTCTCATTGCTAAATCCCAGGGACATCCACCCTCGTTCCCTGTCCCCCTCCAGCCCTTTTCCAGGCTCCTCTTCCAGCCTTTCCTGACCTCTCTGCCTTTCTTTGTGCCCCAGATGAGTTTCCTGCTCCCCCGAAGCCCCTGAAGGCCTCAGACCGTACGTCCCAGTAACGTCCCCGTCCTGTCCCAGTTTGGCGCCACTCGGGACTGGTTTTACTGGTTCAGCATCTGGGCTGGGGGAGGATCAGCTGGGTTCAGTCTGGGCACCTTGGGAGAAGGGAATGGCTCCGGCTTGGCCTCCTCATGCCCAGTGGAAGCAGGGAAAGGGCTCCCCTGCCCTTTGGGGTGTCCCTGCTGGCACGGGGAGCTCAGGGCAGGGCCCTGCCAGGGATTCCTGCCCAAAATTCCATGAAAAGGGGTGATTCTCTTCGTGGAATCACAGAACTGGATAGGTTGGAAAACCCCTGTGATCCAACAAGTCCAGCCATTCCCCCAGCACTGCCCAGGCCACCCCTGGCCGTGTCCCCAAGTGCCACATCCACAGGGTGTTAAATCCCCCCGGGGATGGGGACTCCCCCCACCCTGGGCAGCTGTGCCAGGGCTGGACAGCCCTTTCCAGGAGGAATTTTCCCAATATCCAACCCCAGCTCACCCCTAGTGCCGCTTGAGGCCGTTTCCTTTCATCCTGTCACTCCTACTCTTGTCCAAGCCCCCTCTCTTACTGTCCCCCCTTCCCTGGGGACCCTTCCCGGGGCTGGGAGTTCCCGTTTTTCCCGGGACACAGCCCTGTGTGTGTGTCCTGCCCCGAGGTGAGTGCTCGCAGGGCTCCAATTTGGGTGCAAACCTCAGCATTTTGGTGCCTCCAGCCCCCCGTGGTCACCTTGGCCTGGGGTGGGACACGGCCCTGGAGGCACCTCTGGGAATCCCTGACGGCTCTGATGGCTCCTCTCCCTGTGATTCCCAGTGGATGACGGGCTCGGATTCCTGCCAACCTTCGGCCCCTGCTACATCAACCTCTACGGGAGCCCCCGGGAATTCACGGGATTCCCCGACCCCTACGAGACCCTCAACCTGGGAAAGGTGACATGGGCTTCTCTCCGGCCTCCACTAACCCGGCGGCTCCTCCTGCCCCGGCCCGGCTGCTCTAACCCCCCCCGGCTCTGGCAGCGGGACCCTGCTCTGGCTCCTGCTATTCCTTGGCTCTTCCCGCTGCCTCCGACCTCCCGGCTCTGCTCCGCTCCCAGGACTTCCCGCCCGGGAAGCGCCCGCCGGAGCCCTTCGCTGCTCTTCCTCCTCCGCGACGGAGCTCCTGGAAAAACCCAAAGGCAGAGCTGATCCGTGGGGAGGGAACGCTGGGGAGGGATCCTGACGCTTCCCCCTGCTCTGTCCCAAAGGGAGAGGGCGTTGCCTACCGTGGCAGGGTGCTGGTGGAGCTGGAGACCAAACTGGTGGAGCACCTGGAGCAGAAGGTGGAGGATATTCCAGCGGATGACGTCCTGAGGGTGGAGGTAACGGGCTCTCGGGGGCATTCCGGGGGTGTCCGGCCCCTTGGGCACGTGGGACACGATGGAAGGGGTGTGGGAGTTGCTCCTGGGTGGGTCCCGTGGTTGGGGAGCTCCTGGAGGTGCCTCCTGCCGAGTTCCATTCCAAGGTGTCCGTCCAAGGATTGATCCGTCCGAGGTCCCGTGTGGTGTGAGCTGATCGTGGGGAACAGGGAATCATGGAATGGGTTGGGTTGGGAGGGGCCTGAAAGGTCTTCCAGTTCCATGGGCAGGGACACCTTCCGTTAGCCCAGGTTGTTCCAACCTGGCCTTGGGCACTTCCAGAGATCCAGGGGCAGACACAGCTGCTCTGGGAATTCCATCCCAGCCCTTCAGCATCCTCACAGGGAGGAATTCCTTCCCAGTATCCCACCCAAATCTCCCCTTTTCC